TTCGACGCTTCGTATATGTGACGGGTAAAAATTTGCGTATTAACATGTGCCGGATTACTGTAAGAGCCGAGTGCCGGACTGAATTTTCGTTTCTGTCCGGATTATAACATGCCTCGAAGTGTTACGCTCATCGATACGATGAATGCCATTGATCCATTGAGGTAGACGGAAGCTCGCATCTCAGCTGCGCTCAATCTTTTGTTCCTGCTTGTTATGAAAGGACTGTTCCGTCTCTGCAACTTCTATACGAGTTGAGATCAAAATCCAATTTTTACATTCAGGACAACACTAATATGAGGAGAGGTCGGACATTATGATACCATATCTCGCACTTCTGATGTCACCTTCGAGAGGTCTTGCCTGTTAGGGTGAACAAAAGAGACTTAACGTGGGCGGACAGCTACACCAATTGAGGTTTCTGAATCATTCAACCTACAGTCACTTCGATCGAAATTATTATGCCGATAATCTTGGTTGAAGGATATGTAGTGTGAATTGAAGGCGCGAGGGACTTCGCATGCAAACACTGTCTAAGGAAATAGGACTGATTCCCTTCTCTTTACTTTTCATCCTCACGCAATTCTGTATGCTTGAGTAGTGGAGCATTTTAGGATATTGAGGGATGAATACACTTTCGATTCTTGTATTCTTTCTGCTTGACCTACGTCTTGGAGACGTGCTTCTTACATTGGAAGGAAGGACTTGATTAGGGCCGTTAAGTGTGCCGATGGCATTGCTTTGAGTATCAATATCACATGTGTAGAGGGAAATCTAGAACCCGAAGCTTTTGTCGAGTAAGGGTTAGATGAGCCGTCGCGTCTACAAAAGAGGATCGAACGAGTACGAGTACGACAATTGGCCTGTCAGGGTGATTTCTGCATGAAATCGGGGATGATGCTCTCCGCGCCCTTGAACGACAAAGGTCCATTGGCCTAGCTGCTTGCACTAGTGACTATTTTGTACGATGCCAGCACCTCCTCAATGAAATAGATGATTAACGGGAAGCCGACGATACAATTAAACTCTCCTATAGTATATCTCGATTGTGCAAATTTAGGCGTTTAAATTAGCGATAAGGCTTCCAGAAAACCCATCCTCCGTGCAACCTGGCAGTGTCGGTCCTGGGAGTCAGCAACCGGGCTCGGTGCCCAGCCAAGAGGAAAACACGAAGGAGTACAATGATCTGGTAAGGAATGATGCTATTTTTGGGTCTGCAGAATTTTTTCTCAAATTTCGGTTTCCAGGTGGAAAGCTTGAAAGAACAGTACTATGAGAAGCTCAAACGCATTGGAGATCGATGCGATTTGGACAATAGCCCGAAACCGACAGGATTCGATCGACTCATGGAGATTCTGGATCGCAAACGGTATGAAAGCATGAGTGCACAATTTAATTCAGGAATATTTGTTTTGTCTCAATTCCTGCTTCTACAATTGTGTACTTATACGGGTCGCGTAATTTTCAGGAGGGTGTCGCAATCATTACTGGAAAAGATCGTGGGAAATGTGCGCACGATTGTAGAACGTTCTAGCCTTACTTATCCAGTGATTGAAACATTGCGGCAAATCGAAGCTGAAGGACAAACTTTGGCTTTTCGCGGTGGTTGTACAGACGACCATCCCAATTCTCAATCAAACCTACCTCAGGCTGTTCTAGATCCATGGCGATCGGTTCGACATCTCATGATTAGGTAGGAACTTTGCCTTTTGTTTTGATTAGCTTTTCGCTTTTCAAACTTTACCCAAACATTCCCATCGTTGTTATAACGCCACTGCTCATACTTTAGTGTTCTCAGGGTACCTGAACATCTAGCGATTCTAAGTAACTCCGATGACGCTTCAACAGTTGATGTTGGTGCAGTGAAGTCATCAATAACCAGCTCGTCATTGAAGCGTTCCGCTCCTTCGGATACTAGTGATTCTGGGACTGAGGCGAAAGTGGAAAAGCTTGGTGAGAAGGCTACTGGTAATCGAGTCTTTTTACAATCTGTTGTAGACAATATGAGGTTTTCAGACGATTCATCTCACTCAGACCAGAACATTGATTCATCCGATGAAGAAAACATGCGAATCAAGGTTTGTCATGCTTCGTATTGTTCATCATAGCAGTGCTTGTTTTGAGACTCCTTCCACTTGTGAATCTGATTAGAGGAGTAAATTGTGCGATTGTGTACGTTCTTTCTAGCTATCAATTCTAGATTGACTGCCTGTTTGATACCCGCCAGCCGTGGCGAATGTCGGTAGCGGCTTCTCGCGAGTTGAACGAATTGCCTTGGCGTGTAGATACAGATTGCTTGCCAGCTTCCAGTCACAGCCCCGATGCTGTGATCTGTTTCGATTCGGATTTGGCAAGTTTAATTTTTGCATTCCTGCTCCTTCTTTCCATCTCTTTGAACTGAGCCTATGTTTAAAGTTTTTAATCAATTTCGTTCCATTCTCTCCCTTACTTTTTTGTACCCTAATCCACTAATTAATGAACGCAGCTATAATTTTCTGACAATTTGATAAGCATGCTTTGTTGGAATCACACTAACTCGTGTTTCTCTTACAGTTGTTATGCCCTCCGTTGCGTGTACTTGTCCCTGCGTCTTACCCCCTCGATCCTGCTGTCATACAATTCGATCGCTCGTTTCCTCGTGGCGTTCAAATATCTTCGCAATTGTCTACGGTCGGTTTTTTATCGTTTTTCTTGATTTCATTAGTTCCTGATCTTTTGCGGGGTGTTTTCCTTTTAGTTTATACTGAAAATTTTTTTCGTGAGTTCTGATCTTCCCGTCAACTGTCTGACCTGTATAGAACGGTTAGCAGGTTATGTATGTATTTCCGGTGCGAGGCATTGGAAGTAAACTATAGTGCTACTCCATCAAACGTTTGAGTATTATTTTTTGGTTGAAAATTTTTCATATTTAAACTTTTGTTCTCGATTTTCCCTAATCAATAGCTAATTTAGATGCTCGAGCGCAGTTTGTCGGTGGCACCATCTCGCTCTTTGACCCATATTCATAGCGCCTTTCGATCAGCTTGTCAGGAATTGATGCGTTTGAAAGGTGTTCACAGCGGACACTATATTCCCAATAAGCAGCATAAGCAATTGGTTGCTTGAATCGGCTGTTATTCCATACGGGATCGACTCTCTTCCTACTTTCCTCGTTCTAACTTCTTTCCAATGGGAGTGCTTTTTTTTCATCTCTGTTGAACAACAATCTGGCATGGTTCACTGGGGTGCATTGTTTGTAACTACTTGTAGTCAGGATCATGGTTTGTCAATATCAGTGATAGTGCATCTATTTGTTTTACTCGTATTGCGTGTTTCTGTGTTCCAATCACGCGTTTCATATTATGTGGATGTTCTACTTCTTTCCTCCTACAGCCACCATTTGAAAACCTCGTATATATCTCTGGTCTTGTTTGTCGAGTCGGGATGCACAGCAAATCTGTCGCGCGGAAATGAGCTGTCGCCGCGCAGTTAGGTTACTCAACAGTTGACCAAATTTCCGGCTCCAAAAACCTGTTTAGTTGGCCATTTCTATGAGCGTTTATTGATAGCATCCTAAAGTGAGTCATACCCACCTCGATATACATGCAATGAAGCCCAAAAGAAAATATCTTGTGAGCTTAAATGATGTGTTAAATGATTCTCCAAGTTCTAGGGGATCGTAAGCAAGAAATCCATTGCATAGAGGTGATCCTATGACATGGGCTAACCCATTATCAATTCACAGATCCTCCTCTTAAACCATGCACTGTTTTCATGGCAAGTTCCGCCACACCGCCACTCGCTGAGTTAGCGGCGCTACTCCGTTTGGCCATGCTTGATTCGCACATCACGATAAATTGTCAGTGCACAAAACATGGCCTTCATTTATAGACCTAGCATTCTACTCTTCGCCATTCCTTTCACCACCATTACTTTATTCGTCTCCTCAAACCCTCATCATTTGGTTCCGAGAAAAATACTGAAAGCATTTATAAGAGACTTGAACTTGATATCCGTGAAACTCCTTGTTCTTCTCAGTCTTTGTGATATATCAAGCGGGCGTAATCTTGATCATGTGCCGACAGTGGTCTGTTAGTAGCCGTTTAGTCTTTTTATTCCTTCATGGTGTCTTCCAATCTCTTCTCCTTGTCTCCTGAAGAGCCTGACGAAAGTGGGAGGGCGATCGAGTAACGTTAGTAAACTACCCGTGTTTTGTTGTGGGCAAAAATCCCTTCAGNTCTATTTGCTGACATATAAGTCAAGCTGAAGATTAGTGGGTCATCTAACACTGTTCCAATCTGAAACTACAGTTGTTTCACGACCTTTGAAGCATTCCTTCTTCCATTAGTTTCCGTTCTTCATTGACACTGATGTTCATTATACAGAACTTATTAGTAAAATGCAAAAGTTTAATTTGAAAAATGAATGTGAACCCGATGTAAAATTTCTGTTCATTCCACCACCAGTGCTCGCCCGTTTGAAGTGAATAATGCGTTTCAAAGCGCGTACTTTTTTTCTTCCTTCCTTAGCTCACGTCGTGGGTGTCCTTCTACTTGTTACTCATTTCTTCTCCTTCAATGCTGCTCTCTCAATGTCCATCTCTATATCTATACGTATGTATACATATGTACGTATATACATATATATGTATGTATATATACTACATATATATCTTTCACCCATGTGATTCTCTGTTCCAACTGGATTGCTTGTGATTCGGTATGATAGAAAACCATCCCATTATGTTGCCTTCCTCGACTAAGTGTTGATTTTCCATTTAAAAAAGTTGTTGTACGTGAACTGTTTATTGGTCGTGAAAAAGATTATCTTCGGTAGATGACACCGAGGCATGGGATTGTTTTCAGAGCTAATTTTGTTCACTTTTGATTGTATTCCTTGTGGAACCATTCATTTCTTTTTGTATTACAGATATCTCTAAGTCATTCAGCGTAAGCGTCTTGAACGGAATATACCTTTTGTAGAGGTTTTCATGTCTTTTTCTTTCATTACAGATGATCCGATAACAAACTGGTCAAAAATCCTCATACCGTTGATCGGTAGTGATCAGTTGATCGATTTGTTGGCGTAGGGGGTATATGTTCCTTCTGACAGAGGTATAACTATTTGGAAACTGTGTACTTTGCTTTCGCTAATGGTTCGTGATATGTGCTTGACGATGTTCCAAGTCAATATATGTATAGTTCCCTATTGATTTTTTCTTCCTCATAATAGAACATATGTGATGAGTATTTATATTCAGAAATAAAGTTAGATTTTACTGATGCGTTCTTAATGTTGTGCTGAAACAGCTATCATGAGAAGTCAGATTTTTGGAAGCGGATGTAGCAGTAGTGGCACGTGTCGCGTCCCACCTCGTTTTTAGTTTACATCCTACTTAGTTAACCTTTTGCTGTTGCTAACTATGTGTCGCAGTTATTATTCATATATATCTGAGCCATGCCCGGATAGATATGAGATCGTTAGTCTTTTAATAGCATTATAAAAGCTCATGGAAATATTTTTTGTAGTTTTGTGCATCCAATGCTCCAGTAGGGCATCCATAATCAACCCCAGCAGCAATCCGTCTCACGGTTTAGCTTGGTGAGGTCGCAGAGCGAGTAAATCCTAACGCTCAAAGGCACAGTTTACGATAATAATGCTCCTACGACTTCCTCCTAGAACTACGCAGAGGCCCCCAAGGGTAACACAAAGGACGCTGACGGGAAGGAAAAGGGCATAGCATGAGCGCCAATACCGGGTTCGTTGACGCGTCGACCGGTAGTATGTCAGACAAGTGTCGAAACAGTGCATTGCGCTACTTGCATTGGAACCCACACGTTCGACATGCAGTCAGCTGATTGCCGAGAGATTAGGGTATGTTTTACCCCTACTCTGTTGTTTTTGCTGCTATTGTCATTTTTTTAGTTTTCTTTCTTACGAGGATGAAAAAGGTAACTTTTGCTGTTAATCACTGTTGAGTCATGCCAGTGCTTCTGAATGCATTGACTGAACATTTTTGCTTACTGTAGGCAGCTATTCGCGCCAAGATTCACGTGTACGCAATGATATACTTTGTATAGCGCGTACAAGCACTCCTTAACCCTTTGACGACAACGCGCCTTTTTGCGTGTCTGGCGCGCGGGACAGACGCGTTTTGAAGCTTTCCGCTTCCGCGGCTCACCGTTGAGCCGCGCTGTCCCATGGGTGAGACATTTTTCCAATGTGGGCATTTCTTGCTTTTTTCGAGCGTTTTTTTATGATTTAGTCTGAAGCAGGGGTAAATTAGGTAACTATGAATTCTCAACTTTAGTTAGGTCTGGTTTTATGCAGTATATAGCTTTGGGAGTCTAAATGGATCAGCCTGCAGTGGACGATTTGGAGGGTGGTTTTGAAAGATTATTGGTCGAACCCGACGAATGTAGAACTGAAGAATAAACTTTTCAGGCTATGCTTTGAAGATGTTACACATGGAGGACTAAGATTTACTCAAGATTTAGATTCAAGATTTACTTCGGTAGGTAGCCCGCAAGCAAGGACTCAGCAGCTGTGTTTGTTGCGGTCATGACTAATGGACGGACTCTTGAATCAAGGAATGCGTCTCTATACCGATAACTAAATGACTTATTGGAACATAGCACCCACTTGTCCGACACTCGAAAAGGTGAAAAGGCGGCGAATACTAATAAAAGTCGAGACAGTTGAAAGGAGGGCAAGTTCTCAAAAAATTCGTTACACAACTATCTCGAGCTTTTGGAAGTGTTCACGCCCCTACAAGACGAGTCACTTCTAGGAGCAGTAGATGTGAAGGTCATTTTTACATTGATTGTTTTCAGAAAATGCACGAAAAGCGAGATTTCCAGAGAGAGAATTGAATTCATTAGTAGTTTTCAACAATTAGCAATGTTTTTCCTAGCCCACTTCGTGTATAGTGGTATTTGGTGATTGCAAACCCATTAAATACAAAAAACTCCAAGTAAAACTAAGAACCAAGAAAAACAACCGATAAGAAGGGTGCGGTCCACCGTTGAGCCGCGTTGTCCCACGCGACCAGAAAACCGTGGCTCACCGTTGAGCCGCGCTGTCGTCAAAGGGTTAAACTTCATTTTTCTGACCTTACTCTCTTCCAGACCTTTTTCTGACCTCTTATCACTCTGGAAACACCGACTCGCGTGCTTTCTTCGTCTTTCCATTACGAAAACATCGTGAACTTGCTTTTAAAGGCTCAGTTCATGATAATTTTGAGGTACCCTTTCAAAGTTAAGCCAATACCAATAGAAGTGACGGCGCGAATGAGGTGTTATTTATTACACACTGGTAGCAGTACAATTGTATACTAGCACCAATTACTGTAACTCTACACTTACTTTTATTTAATTTCACATACTGACTAGGAGGATTCGCATGAGTATGATCTTATATGAATAGTTCAGCTTCCCACAATCTTGTCGCTTTTTTTCGGCATTGGTTGTCCGTTGGTTTAGTTTTTCTTCTTTCACTTTCACTCTTCATTTGATTCATTTTTATCTGCGAGCCTGTAGAATGAGGGCCTGCACGTTTAGCTCCAATTCAATTCACGTGGCACCTCCACCAATTGGTTGTCCTGTCCGACAGACTCAGCTGAACCAATATCGATTCTTTGAATCAAGATTCTGTTGCATACGAAGTATTAGGAAGGAGCAGGATGTAAAAAACATTTTGAGGCCAGTCATTGGTAAAGTAAAACCTTTTCCTCTCTCAGACGAGACTGGCACCACAACTGACCATATTGACGATGACCTGATGGAAAGTTTACGTAGTGCTGGTCAGAATCGATAAGATATTGAATCCCGTTTATATATGAACACATAGAAACTATTGGGTTGTAACATAAGTTCGTAGAGTTTTGTGTTAGGGTCATTTTACAACGACTCGCTTTGTTTTTTGGCGAAGTGTATATATTCATTCGAAAGAGCTCTTTCTCCTCTATAAAATAGTTCTATTCGTTTTTTTGGACAGTCTAGATGTACGTCTTTTTTCTGGCTCAGAATTG